TTAACTGGTACAACCCATCCAGGGGTGCATTCTTGTTTTTAACAACAGGGCTCCTATTTGGGTTGGGACATTCAGGCACTAAAAGCATTAATAATGAAAACATTTTAAGAGTCAAAAGAGTAGTAAAATTGTTGTCTTTTATAAACACCAACACAAACCAAAAGGTTCTCAGTCATACATGTTCAGTGTAATAGATATTTGGAGAAGAAGAGTGGGTACTTAAGTTTTGCACTAAAAGGCCTGATGCATGCATATGCTCAGCTATAGGAATTTGTTCTCCACCAGCAGAATCCAGAGCTTTACCGAATCACAGAATCCCAAGGGTTTGAAGGGAGCTCAAAAGATCATCTAGTCCAACCCCCCTGCAAGAGCAGGGTAACCTAGAGTACATCACACAGGAACTTGTCCAGGCGGGCCTTGAATATCTCCAATGTAGGAGACTCCACAACCCCCCTGGGCAACCTGTTCCAGTGCTCTGTCACTCTCACAGTAAAGAAGTTTTTCCTGATGTTCACATGGAACCTCCTATGCTCCAGTTTACACCCATTGCCCCTTGTCCTATCACTGGACATCACTGAAAAAAACCTAGCTCCATCATCCTGACACTCACCCATTGCATATTTGTAAACATTGATGAGGTCACCCCTCAATCTCGTCTTCTCTAAGCTAAAGAGACCCAGCTCCCTCAGCCCCTCCTCATAAGTGAGATGTTCCACTCCCTTAATCATCTTTATGGCTCTGTGCTGGTCTCTTTCAAGCATGATACACAGGTAAGAAAAACAGAGATTTTCTCCTTAAGAAAACTATCATCATATTCCCAATTACTTTGAATGTCAAACAAATCTGAGCTCGATTCTGAGCTGCACACTGAGGTATGAGACATTGCCAAAGGTAATAAACCGTTCTCCATAAAAGCAAATGGGATTCAGTTGTGGAGAAACACCTGAGGAAACCTCCTCTTCCACGTTTGTCGTTCCTTTCACAAACGTAGGCTTACCAGCTTCAGACTGCATGCTAGCAGAACACATGGCAGCAAGTGACTCCTTATGAGCAAGAAAATGGAAACACAAACAGGGGTGAAAAGAATGAAGTCTCGACCAAAGAGGCTGTAGGCACTATGTTTAGGAAAAACTTTCCACAGTAAAAGCAGTTAAGCTCTGAGACACAGCCCTGTGACAAGAGAACCTTCATCTTGAGTTTTTAAGGAACAAACAAAACAATCATGTCAGGAAAGTTAGGAGTTTTAGGGTCAAGGGATGAACTCTAAGCCTCTTCTTTTCCTAACTCCTTTGGTCCTGTGATGAACAGTCACAGCATAAAAATGTAATAAACAAAAACACAAGGAAAAGAGTAATGGAGGTCACTTTAGAGGGTAGTTAGCCAGCCACCTCCCAAAGCCTCACTGAAGGGCTGTCAAAGTTTCCTCAGGAAGTGACAAAGACAAGAAACTTTGCCTCAGTCCCAAACCTGGCAATCCCTCCTGCGGCTGCCACACAAGAGTTATGTCAGGACTTGGCAGAGAGCTGTAGATCACTCCTCCAGCCTGCATAAAGACAATGTCAAGAGCCAAGGTACCTGGCACTCAGGAGCCACAGCCAGATTAGGAAACCTGGCAGCCAGACACATCTCAGCACTGAAGCATGGCTCAGGAACACACCAGCCCGCCTCCTTCACCCCCTCAGGAGGGTGCCCACTCAGGGCAGAAACATCATGCCAGTCAAATGGGAGCTATGCTTCATTTCACTGCATAAACTGGGCTGTAGCTAAAACCTGCTCAACCCCAGGAAGAGGTAGTCTCTTTAATACAGGCAGAACTGTTGAGAACAGGCTGGTCCGAGAGACCAGGAAGAGTTTGAAATGACAAGACAGGACTTGGAGCAGGTGCTCAAGTATTTGCACTTACAAAGATTAACACCTTCTGCATGCAGATACCTCACTGCCCAGCAGCAATAATTTACTGTGGAAGCAGTTAAGGAGGAGGCTTGAGGCCACTTGCATACTCAAGAGAGCATTAGAATTGTACCTCCGCAGCTCTTACACCTCAGACTGTGAGGCACTGCACAATTAGGTAGGCATCCTGCTCCTGCCAGCCCACCATGTTCCTCTTCCTGCTAGCTGGAACCTTCTCTCCTCAAAGAGCAGAGCATGCTTGAGTTCATGAATAACAAAGTGTGGCATCAACAAATCCTGCCTCCCAGACTGACTCACCTACCCTTTACCTGCCCGTTTCCTCTCTGCGGTTCTCTTGCTGGTGTCACCTTCACCATCTAGAAACCCCAAGACCATTGCCTCCTTGCACACTACTCCAGGCTGCTCCAGATCGCTCCCATCACACCCACAGAGAGTTTAAAAAACCCCAAGATACTCTGGAGGAGGAGGAAGTGAAACGCAGATACCCAAATCCCAGTTTTGCTAGATTTAAACTAAAAATTACAGGCCATGTTCCCTCACGGCAATGCAGGGCTACATTCAGAAGCTGGTACTTACTCCCCACGTCTAGCACAATGGCTGCAGGCCAAACAGTGATCCTGGAGCATTGGGCTAGCTCATTGGGCCAGCAGCATGGAGTACAGCTCTGGCTTCTCTGTATCAGTCTCTCCTCACCTTCCCATCTAGGCCCCTACAGACAAATGGGGCTTGTGGGAGAAGCTGGCTTTGAAAACATTGAGCCAGCTACAATTTTTCCTCATTGGGGAATTCTGAGGTGGCAAAAATAGCCCAAGCCCATGCCCTTTGCACAGCTGAGGGCCACAGACCATCAGTGACCCTCCTGTCTTAGAGAGGCAGCCTAGGACTTTGATCAGAAGTGAAGAGGGACACAGGTTTACAAACTGATTTAATCCCTATTTCTAACGAGTATATGAAGTAATCTTGGGACTTGGACATGCCCAGACCAGGGGGTCTACTAGATACAATACAGATTAAACTACTAGGTCCAGGACTTACTGAACACAACCGCCAAGATTCCTTTTGGTAGACCTGAAAACATATTTTTAAGTTATCATCTAGTTTTCAAGCAGATCAGATTAATGTCTGCACTTGTTTACACAGACAGGTATAGACTTTCCCTGTTCTGGAATGTCGGAACTCCCTGAAGGGATTCATCATCTAAAGGATTCCTCTCTTTTGGGAAAAGTGTTAACTTCCATAGTAGATGTGATGTCTAAGATCAAAAGTAGATGGTTTTATAGGATTATACCCTATTAAAACACAGGAAGGAACATCTCACTAACTAGAGGCACTTATATCTTCCTGAGTGTTCCCACTGCCACCCTGTCATTTTAATGAATCTACAGAGTAATTGCATACTCCTGGTAACACAGAGCTGCTTCATAGGTTTCTTTTCCTGTCTTAAAAGAAGTAAACAATTGCCTTGCAAAACGTCCAGTACATTTTGATGTTACAAACCGTCAATAAACTATGGGCAAGAGGAACATCATCCCACAAGACAACTTCATCTCTATAAAATTACAGGATTTTCTGCTGGAAAGTAAGACACATCCACGTATTCTACCACAGACTGTTCATGTTTGTATAAACCACATTTATTTTGTCTCTGTGCCATTTTAAAAGTCAGCAGCAGGAATTCTCTCCGAGAAAGGACTAATGGTCACTGCCAAATACTTTGGGTTGAACTCTCCAGTGCCCTGGTACCACATCCTGCCACTGACTCCAGAGGCAACGCACCCACTCCGGCTGGGGTAAGTGTGAACACAAGTCAGAGAGAACTCGAGTGTCTGTCTGGGTATTTTTTTTAATGTCCAGCTCACTGATACTGTATGAAAGAGAATTCACTCTAAAAGGCGCTCATTCTTGCAGCTTTTCTGAATGCTTACAGAGATGGGGATATAAAAGCAGCCTAACCTACACATGGTAATTTGGTATGTTTGAGTTTAAATATATCAATAAATCACAGAACCGTTAGGGTTGGCAGGGGCCTCTGAAGATCATCCAGTCCAACCCTCTGCAAAGGCAGGGCCACCTAGAGCACGTTACACAGGAATGTGTCCAGGAAGATTTTGGACATCTCCAGAGGAGACCCCACGACCCCCCTGGGCAGCCTAAACAAAACCGTATAGTGATGCTCTGATAGCAACTGTCAGCAGAGGTGACTCTCTTCTCCAGCGGTGCTTGTAACAACCCGGTGAGCACAGCTTTGCTGTTAAACTCCCCAAGTGCAGGGCAGAGAGGGGGCAGGAGAGCCAAACTGCACAGCTAAGCACATTGCTGCTCCAGATGTGAAACGCACACACGGGCTCGCCAAACCGAACAAAAAGGGGACGGGGAAAAAGAAGAAAAAGCAACGGCAGAAAGGGCATTCCCACAAGGAGCCGATCAAAAGAAGCCCTGAATAAACAGAAGTGAGTCATTAAACAAAGCACCGACACAGCACATGGGTGACACAGCGCGCCCGGGACAAGGAGCCGCCCGAAACGCCGTTTTCGGTGCCGCTTTCCTCCCTTTCGCGTCCCACTGTCGCTGCCGGGATCCGGCGAAGTGACAGGACCGCCAGGCCTGCCGCGGGGTCTGCGGGCAGAGAAGCCCTCCCGGACGCCTTTCGGGACTCCGGCACCGGAGGGAGATCCTCCGCCGGGGCACCACCGCCGCCGCCTCCAGCGCCCAGGAGAACCGGCTCGGCGGCGGCCCCTCTGCGGGGAGCGCTGTGGGACGCTCTCCCCTCGCATCCCCAACCGCCAACCCGCTGCGACCGTCTCACTTTTTAAAAGTTCAGAAACAAGGCATAACCTACACGTAAAACGCCACCAAAGCCCCCCTTCCCCCTCCCCGCAGTGCGCGGGTGCCAAGTTTCGGCGTGGAGGAATCCACCGCGGCCGAGCCCCCCTGCCCGGGACGGAGAGACGCGGATCTCGCCGGGAGGGAAAGAGAGGGGCTGGAAGCGCTCCCGTTTTTAGCAAGCACCTCATCTCCCTCAGTCCCGACCTGCCAGGCGGCAAGGGAAGGAATGGGGGGAAGCGATCCCCGCGGTCCCCTGTACTCACTCCAAGCAGACACACTTTCAGCTCGCGTATCGCCATCATCTGCCCGGGACCCGGCCGCTCCGCATCCCCCACCACCGCCACCGCCGCTCCGCACTGCCCCGCCGCGGCGCGCCACAACCGCCTCCGGCACCGGGGCCAGGGCCGGGACCGCGACCGGGGCCGCCCCCACGGCCGCCGCCGGTCACATGTGCGCGGCCGCGGCCCCGCCTCGGCGCTGCCCTCCGGCTGCCGATCGTCGCAGGTCCCGTCTGTGAGAGGCCTGCGGCGGGCGCGGGTCGTTTCGGGGCTGCTCTGGTCGGTGCTAAGCCCTGGAACAGGGTTGTGAGCGAGGATACAGCGTGTTGGGAGGGGAACAACCGGGGAGAGAGTTGTGAATCCTTCATGGGCTGCACGTACCCTTAGACCCACACACCGTGTGCTGGTCTAGACACCGGCTTTGCACTGCTGCGGCAGGAGACCATCTGAATCCATCCACTGTATTTTTAAGTTTGCCTTTACATATGCAGATAAACCTTTAAAAGAGTAACTTTAAAAGAGAAATCTCTGAAAGCATAACTCTGTTCTTACACAATCCTACTAATACATACCCGGTTTTGGTTACACCAGTCAGCCTTGGGTTGATGGTAGGGCTGCACTCTGTGATTGAAAGTTATGCTAAATACTACATCACAGCGAATGTTAGGATTGAAATCAATGGGGGGAGGGGGGGGGGGGGTGTAACCACTCTTCTCAGTCCCAGAGTTTACAGAGAAGAATTGCATGCTATAACCCCAGAAAGCAGAAGCGCATTGTCTGCCAGGTATTTCAAGTGATAACCTCTCCTGTGCTTACAGTTCTATTTTAATTTTTTCATTAATGTATCAGTCAGAATTGCTAAAGGGAAATGAAGGAAATCTCGATTAGTCACTGTGAGATTACTGCCACGTCATTAAAGAGCTTCCTGCCCATAAACTGCTGTAGTGTTCATTATGTCACTAATTAGTTCCACATGGGCTCCTCTGCTCCCACTGGTAGCCTCTTCCGAATCCTAGGCCAAGGCAACGCTTGGAGCAGAGTAGTTGTTTTCCCCAAGGAGGAGAACACAAAGTGTTTCTAGTGGAGTATCACAGCCTGTCAGGAGAGAGTGTCAAAAGGGAAACCAAAGGAGACACTCATCAGAGATGCTTGTGATTTAATTAAGCTTTGATTTATTTCTTTTAAGAGAATTTAGTGAAGAGAAACAAAACACAGCAGGTTTTCAAACAGCCAAGAGTATTGCTGGGAGTCTGTCTGCTCATTGCTTTTCCACAAGAATGTGTTATACAATGAAGTCTTTCAATAAGTAAATAGGATACACTCACTAAAACAGAACAATTGCAGTTTGCACTCATAGCACAACTAATTTAAAGCAGCTTGACATTTCAGCCCGTAATTAGCTCTACAAATATGAATTTTTGAAGTTTTTACACCCTCCCACCCCCATCCTTTCTTTCAGTTTTCAGTCCAAGTTTAATGTTGCTCCTATAACTTTGATTCAGACTTTTCCACTGTTGAGGGACTGAGATTCACAGACAGTGCTGTGGTTAGGGATCACCTTTCCATAAATTCTTCTGGTTATTTTTTTTTTATCACATCTTTAAATGTTTCCATGTCTTTCATGTATCCCATTAGTCATCTATCCCTTTGGTCCCGATTTTGGAATTCTTGAAGTTGGGGATTTTTGCTCATTGCACACATAAAATGTTATATCAGCCAAATTAATTTCAGCAAAAAACACTTGAATTACACTAGATTCTAATCTACATTAGATTGTGGATTACAGAAGGAGGCTGAGTGTGTTCAAAGCTGTTCTGTGTTACAAGCACAGCTTGATGGCTTGTCCATAGGGATGCTCGGATTAAGCTGTAATGATGTAATGGCAATGAGAGCATCCACAGAACAGATTAAAATGATTTACTGTATGTGCATTGACTCTGCAGCTTTAACTGAGGCACCTGAACTTTCCAAAGCCTCTCAATGCAGGCATGCACTAGAGTGCAATTAATAAAGTTCCAGTTTGGGAGAGCACTTGCTTAAGCCTCTCCATTTTCGAGATGGTAATACATCCCACCAACTTCAAAGGCATGTGAGTACGTGTCTAATTGCTGCGTTGACTCAGTACCACTGTAATAAAAACCAGCACAAGTCAGATTCCCATCTTTCTTCTTATCTGGGGAAACTGCTTCTCAGATGCACAGTGGTGAGACAGGAGCCCTTGCTAAGGAAGGGTTAAAGCCCAGCCCTCAAAAGCTTACTTCTGAAGATAGCAGATAGCCAATTAGCTACTTTCAAATAAGCAAATTGTTTAAAACAGTAGCACTAAGGTGACCCTGTGGAAGCTGTTCAGGGTGAAACACCATGAGAGAGAGCATTAGGAAGGGCAATTTTACTTGCACAGGCAAAAACTCTGAAGAGCCAAACAAAAAAAGAACAACCAGAGAAAAAAAATAACCTACTGTACTTGTTTAAACAGAGTCCAGGAACCACAACAAAAAAGGGGGAGGAATATCCCCCAAATTAGGGAGATAAGAGAGAAAAACAACAATACAAACAGACATGTGCTCCAGTATTAAAAAAAGCTCATGACGTTCTTTCTTCCAGGAACTGGCATAATCTGTGTGTTTGTCTGCATGCAAGACGCTGTGGTCAGGAAAACATTTTTGAGGAATTGGTCATGTTGCAGTGTTTTCAAATGGCTGGTTAAAAGCAAAGAAAAACATCCTAAGGTTGCCTTTCTGTCCCTTTTGTAGCCTCTCATCCAATGAATAATTATATGTTTTGAAGCAGTGATTGACCTCATTTCTTTCTACCCAACTGTATTTTCCTTCTGGGAAATAGAAAGCCAGGGGGCTTTGTTTTTCATCAGCCTTCCCTTAAAGGTTCAAGTAATCTGTTCTCTCTTCAGAAATCACTTCCTTCAGTTTCCAGAAGCCAGACCCTCCTTTAGCTTATTCTCATTTTATATCAGTGCAATTGCACTCATCTCAAATTAATTAATTTTGAGATATTTAGGTCCTCAGAGCTGTGCTTTAGCCAGCAAGATGTGATCTGGCTCAAGGTGCTTTCTGAGTGTGATAATTGGAAAGTTTGTTCAGGCCTGTCTAGAAATTCAAGGTAGCACTAGTCTTGGGAGGGTAGGACTGATTCATCCTTCACTTTGGCTTTCTTTTTGTTTTGCTTACACAGCTAAAGTAGGACTATCCTATCACTCACCCAAGGGTTTTTTTTCAGTGTAGCACCACTGCTTTCATGTAACAGAGGAAGAAGAGAGCCTCCTTCTTAGAGGCACAAGACCAGGAGTACAGAAGACTTGAGTTGTTCTCCTCCTGCTTGCAGCATTGCCTTGCTGTGAGATCTGTGGTTGGGTACCTAACCTGACTCTGCCCTGCCATGTGGTCCTGAAGCAGTCGAGGGCAATAGTAGCTGGGGCTGCTGCTGCTTCCCTTCTCTTTGCCCCTTTGTGCATATTTCTGCCCCTCTGTGCCTCATGCTGGTAGAAAACTAGTCCTATGTTTAAAAGTTCTCTACAGCCTCAGTCTCTTCCTCTCTAGAAGTGGTGTAGTGGTATTTATGTAGCCTGTATTCGTAGGAAACTGGATGTTTGTGAATTGCTGGACATGTCCCCAGACTTATGAAAGCACCTGCCTTCCTCCTCCTACTCTCTCCCTGGTGAGTGACCTAGGTAGAGAAAGATGAGTCCAAGACCTTGATGTATACCCAGCTCACAGAACTGCTGTTGTCTGTCCCAAGCACCTGATGAGTTACTTCCTTTCCCCACTGTTGCTTTCTCTCTTGATTTCTTGGCAAGCATCTTCCCCACACAAAAATGTTATCCCTCCTCTTCACTGTCGAGTTCAGTCTAGCCCCTCCTACTATGGGCTGCCATCCCAGCGCTTATTCCCCAGGCATTGAGCAGGAGCAAGTTAACTCTGTGCTGCCTGGGGAGAAATACCTCTGCATCCCATGGATGACACAAATGTGCAATACAGTAATGACTGCTGCCACAGACAGCAGGCATTTCGCTGGTGCCTGTCCAAGGAACTGCCAAATATCTTAAAATGAAAGCAGCTGCTGCTGAGCAAGCAGTTCTTTGAGCAGGAGGGACAGCTTGCAGCTCAGACCCTCGTTTTCATGCAAAATCCAGTGGTTACGAAATTCTGGAAGTGGCTAAAATTCTGGAAGATGCTATTTTTTGTTCATTTGTTTACTTAATCACCACAAAGTTTAGAAAAGGGCTGCTCTGGGAAGCCAGCATGAGATTCCTGCCTGAGATGAAAACCAGAGAAGTACAGGAATGACCTGGTGGAAATTCAGAGCCTGATTTTGATTTCAGTCACATAGGTCTTAAGCCACTGCAATTTTTTGAACTTCAGTTGGGCTATTCCACTTCATTTCACATGCAAAAAGTGAATTAGGTCCCAGAAGAATCTGCAGCTGCCTGTTACTTCATTTTATTGTACTGTTGCTTCATGTTTTAACATCTCTTGTTTGTGGCATTTATATGGTCCAGTCGCTCCTTCCCGAAGAGAAAATCCGATGGGGAAGGATAGAAGGGAATAAACTTCTGCAAGAATCTACTTGTAGCTTCACTGCCAAATCCTTTGAAAAGCAGCATTATTGCTGTTCAAAAAGAAACCTGTTCGTATAAAGCTTACTGGAGTGCTTCTTGATAGACCTTGTATCAGATGCACTGTTCCTAAAGTGCTTGGGGAATATTTTTGGCAGAATAGGTGTACGTTTGTTGAGAGGGTCAAATTTACTCTACTGGTATGCTGTTACTCCCCAGGGCAATCTCCTGTTGCAGGAGAATGGTAGTGAGAAGTCATGCAAGTTCTCTCATTCTTTGCAAGTGATGTGCCAATGTCCCAAGCTGGTGACAGCACTGCATTTCTCCACTGAGACTGTTAGGTGGGGGAAGAATCAAAAAAAGGTTTCTTTTCTTGCACCTGAAAAACAGAAACTGAGATACAACTTCAGAACACTATAAATACTATAGGCAATTAGGCACCAAGAAAGGGCACGAAATAGCTAAAGCAAAATGTCAGCTCCAAAAATAGATAAAAATTTAGCTTTAGATAGATTTAGTCTGGAAGTTAGGAGAAGGGCTTTCCAAGGCTTTGGAGAATTTTTCTAATAGTAGCTGTCAGAGCAACAAACAAAAAGGAAACTGATTTGAAAGTAGAGCTTTT